TTATGGATTTAAAGTCAGGTTGCCTGGCTTAACACTCTCCCCATATCATACACTGGCTGCTGAGTCAGCTATTCTCTTTGTAACTTTGATCTTTCCACTACCCCCAGAAATATGCAACCTATGTATTGTTTATTACACTGTTGTTGTTGTTGTTACTGTGTTTCTTCAACTTTTGTCTTTGATAATAATCAAGCTGGAATGCTTCTTTTTCCGTGTGTAAATACCTCAATGGATTTAGCTCCTTTTATATTTCTGGCTTTTTTCTCATTTCTTTGATAGGTCAATTTGGGGTGAATAAACAGGTATACTAAGCTCTGACATGCCTCCCTATAAAAACCAGTTCCCACCATCACAATACTCTATCTGATAAAGTACACAGTGGCAAGTGGCTTCCTCTATGGGCACGGGGTAAGCTGCAATTTTGTGCAAAAAAAAAAAATGCCTTAGCACCCCAAAGTCTAGTTCAAAGGCAAAAATCTTTGGGGGGGGGGCATAGCTGACATCTCGTGGAGCAAATTCTTTAAAAGTGGTATGTAGAATTTTCTATTCAATCACCTAACTGCTACAACCAAGACAAAAAAGAATCTTGGAGCCTCAGTGCACTTCATACTTTAACATTAGCCAGTCATGTCAGTTTCTGGGAACTTTGTCCAAAGGTGACTTTTTTAAAAACAGAATGGATTGCAGGCATAGGTGTAAACAGTTTCAAGCAAACGATGTTTGAGCCACCCCACGATTAAATATAAACTGAGACTGAAACCAAATCTAGAGACTTCTTCGGTCTCAACAGACAGGGAAAGGACACGGATACACAAACAGAAGCAAACAAGTGCTGTAGGCTTGCTGGAATTGGCAATCAAAAACAAAAGATGTTCACTTAAATTTGAATGCTAAATAAGCAATGAATAATATTTAAGGATATGTGAGTCCCTAATATTGGCAACTTCACAGTGCACTACGTAGCTTCAGAGACTTCAGCAAAGATGAAGGCTTTAGCTGATGCAAAAGGACTTTAGGACTCCAGATGTTATATGTTGAACTTAAAGCACCTATTTGCGCAGCAAATGTGAGCATCTGGCAACAGACTTGAATAGATTCATAGGCTTAGTAAACAGATTCATCAAAGGCAAAGGTTTCACTATACGTAGAAGAGAGTTATCTCATTTAGAAGCCTTTGAGACATTATAGGATAGAATTATATTTTCGGAATTAAACTGTGAGGAGTTGGTCCATCTGCCATCTGCAATGCAAAGCCCTACAGAGGATCACTGAGGATTTAACACCTCAAGACTCACTATCTTAAATTCAATTAGCATTCTTGTCCAAACAGGCAACTGCGGAAGAGCTTATTGAGCTTGAATTCCTGTGACTTGAACACAGGCTCAAGAGGCACCCAGTGCCACAAGGACCAGGTCTGGCTCTAGAGGGATTAATTACATAAGAAGAAGATCCTCCCTAAGGAGGCAGGTTGGCAGGTTTCTCAGGCCTAGATGACAAGATTTAGCAGAAAACCTACAGCACAGGACCCTCGAATGCCTTTTATAGATAAAAAAAAAAGGCTTTTTTTTTTTGATATTTTGAGCCTACATACAATTTATTATTGGTAGAGGAAGACGGAGAAGATTGAAAATAACGAGTACGAAAGAAAACTACTAGAAGTACAGTCACCAAAACTTGTGAACTTTGTGACAAATGTCTCAGTTTTTACACTGAGAGACATGTGGATTTTCACCTGCTAAGAATATAGAGAGCCAAAATAAGGTTAGGTTTGCAGGTCATAAATTTCAAGCAACTGGCAAAGGCCAACTAGCATTTTAATAAGGTTTAAAAAAAAGTTTCCTCCATTTTTTTATCCTTAATTTAGGTACCGCTGACTTTGTACCATTGTGTGTGTGTATGTGTATGTGCATGCATGTGCACACACATGTTTAAAAATTACAACTATAGCTTTGGGAAAATAGTCATATAACTGTGTTTGGTATTTTTAGCCTGGGAGCTTAGAATGTGTGTGTGTGTGTGTGTGTGTGTGTGTGTGTGTGTGTGTGTGTTTCTAATTTGGGAAGCATGGACCCAGTGCTTAGATATTCTTGCACATATTAATTCTTTATATTCTTTTAAAATAAAAAATTATTTGATGCTGAACTAATGCAATTTTTGAGACCCTGAAATTACCAAACGCATTGCAATGGAAGACAACTCAGAAAATAAATTTTAAAAAATTCTCAACCCCACCATGCATTGATAACACTCTTGTTCAATTTGTCCAAAATAAAAAATACAATAAGAAGTAGAGACAATAGACCCTGGGAAAAAAAATTGACTTAATGATTTTAGACTATTGACCTTTTACTAAAGGCCATAGAATTTGACTTTAAAATTTAATTCTTTTAAACTTTGTTTCTGGGTTTAATATTTCAAGAGAATTCAAATCTTTAACATTCTATTTATCTGTGAAATGCAATAACAGGGTAACATTTTATTAAAGTTTTGGGAATCTCAATATGGCTGAAATTCTATTACTGGAGTAATGAGTATTTTGATATTAGAGTTTCTTTATACTATTTCATTTCATTAGAGAACATCTAATAGATTACAATGGACATTCTGACTGAACAAAACTTGTGATAGGAAACAGAATAAAAAAACAAACTTCCAGCCTTGGGAATAGAGTAATCCTGAAAGAAACAACTAAAAGACAAATCTGAACCATTTCAGAGCTTTCCTCGTGTATAAACTTAATGTAGTCTGCTGCTAAGGAAGCTGTCTAAGGAAGATACCTAAAAGAACAATCATTGGCCCTTTGAGAGTGGCCTCATGTGGTTGAAGCTGTATCATTCTAATAGGTGGTAACTATAGCTACAGCAAGACTGGCCAATTATTGACTTATAGTTAAGTCCAGTAGGTTAAAAGTAAAAAATAAAAGCTAGAAATGGCTCTGCCATCTCCCTTTGCTTCTTGACCTTCCTGGGAAGCGATGTAGCCCAGGAGCAGGAAGCATAAAACAAATTGGTACTCAATATCCACTGTACATCCTAGCATTTCTTCCTCTAATGCAGTGACCTAGATAAAAAAATCACCTTCCCTAGATATTTTGTCTTCATTAATATGAAAGTTAAAATTGAACTCCTTCACTAATGATTTTTATTGCAGCTCCCAAGTATCTCAGAACCTCAAAGAGATAAGTACTATTTCTTGAACTTCATCACAACTTGCTACATTGAAAGGAAATATAGACTGACTGTAGAAAATTTGGAAACTACAAGAAAACAAAATGTATTATTTTAATTTGAGTTGCTCGTCGTTTTCTTACTACTAGGATGTCTTTAATATGTATGGACAGCAATCTTTGGCAAAAAATGATTAGCGTTATATCAAATTGGTGACACCCCTTATTCCCATTCATCCTTCATATCATTTTAAGACTGAACTTTCTAAAACTTCAGTTTGGTTATATGAATCCTATGCTTGGAAGCATTCATTTCAGATAAAGTTACATTGAAATTCCTTATTCAAAGATGATTCCCGTTTATATGGCCATTGTCTACATCTCAAACTTATTTCTTACTCTGGTTACTCTGTCACCATGCTCCTACTCCTCAAACCCGCTTTCCACACAATGCAGCCTCAATTTAAATAGCATCATTCCATGCCCTGCTTAACAGCCTGTAAAATTTTCATATCATCTAGTACATAAATTGCAAGCTCATTAAAATAGTTTTCAAGGTCACCCAAGATCTGACCCTGGTTGAACTCTGCAGCTCTATTTTCTGCAGCTCCATTTTCTGTCGTGATTTACTTCACAATTTATGGTCTAACAATATGAAACTATGTATACAGTCCCCAGGGACACAGCATAATTCCTAACGCCTGAGTCTTTGCTCATATATGGTCTTAATTTTGAAATGCTATCCCTTTTGCTTCTATAGGCTGTCTTCTCATTTTTAACTGTCAACTTCAATACCCTTCCCTCCCAAACTCTAAGAAATGTGAGCTCACTTACTGCATGCTGCCATATCATGCACAGACATCTATGATAGCATTTTTCACATCATTTATAATTATATAATTGTATAAATTTCTCCCAATAGATTTAAATCCCTAAGGACAATCACTCAATTATATGACTATCTCCCCAATATTTGAAGAATAGAAGGCACTCAATAAATATATATTGGATTGAACAGTGAAGAAATGAATATATTCTCTGGTTAGTAATCACAGAGAATAACTAGAAAATCTTTAAATTCCTTTCTTTCTCTCTCTATAAATATATATATGTACTATATAACAATATAGGGAGATAAGTTCACCTCTATCTATCTATCTATCTATATATATATATATATATATATATAGAGAGAGAGAGAGACAGAGAGAGAGAGAGAGAGAGGTAGAGATATAGAGAAAGAGAGAGACAAAGAGGTATACATATGTAGACACATATAAAACCTATTTGTGGGTTATGAAGCTTAGTTTGGCTGGATATGAAATTCTAGGTTGAAAGTTCTTTTCTTTAAGGATACTGAATATTGGCCCCCACTCTTTTCTGGCTTGTAGGTTTTCTGCTGAGAGATCCTCTGTGAGTCTGTTGGGCTTCCCTTAGTGGGTATTCCAACCTTTCTCTCTGGCTGCCCTTAGCATTTTTCCTTCATTTCAACCCTGGTGAATCTGACAATTATGTGCCTCGGGGTTGCTCTTCACTGAGGAATATCTTTGCGGTGTTCCCTGTATTTCCTGAATTTGAATGTTGGCCTGCTTGTTAGGTTGGGGAAGTTCTCCTGGATAATATCCTGAAGAGTGTTTTCCAGCTTGGATTCATTCTCCCTGTCATATTACAGTACACCAATCAAACATAGATTTAGTCTTTTCACATAATCCCATATTTCTTGGAGGCTTCGTTCATTTCTTTTCACTCCTTTTTAGCTAATCTTTATTTCATTGAGTTGATCTTCAGTCTCTGATATCCTTTCCTCTACTTGGTTGATTCAGCTATTGAAACTTGTATATGCTTCACGAAGTTCTCCTGCTCTTTTTTCAGCTCCATCAAGTTGTTTATGTTCTTCCGAATGTTGGTTTTTCTAGTTAGCATTCATCTAAACTTTTTTCAAGGTACTTGAATTAGGTTAGAACATGTGCCTTTAGCTCAGAGAAGTTTGTTATTACCCACCTTCTGAAGACACTTCTGTCAATTCATCAAACTCATTCTCTATCCAGTTTTATTCCCTTCCTAGTGAGGAGTCGTGATCCCTTGGAAGAGAAGAGGTGTTCTTGTTATTGGCAATTTAAGACTTTTCGCACTGGTTTCTTCCCATCTTTGTGGATTTATCTACCTTTGGTCTTTGAAGTTTGTGACTTTTGTTTTTTGAAGTTTGTGATGGGGTCTCTGAGTGGACTTCCTTTCTGTTGATGTTGCAGCTATTTCTTTCTGCTTTTTAGTTTTCCTTCTAAAAGTCCCCTCTGCTGCAGGTCTGCTGGAGGTCCACTCCAGACCCTGCTTGCCGGGGAAGCACCCATGGGGGCTGCAGAACAACAAAGATTGCTATCTGTTCCTTCCTCTGGTAGCTTCATCTAATAAGGGTAACCGCCAGATGTCAGCAAGAGCTCTCCTGTACGAGTGACTCCCAGTCAGAATAAAAGGGGGTCAGTGAGCCACTTGAGCAGGCAGTCTGTCCCCTATCAGAGCTCAAAGTGCTGTGCTGGGAGCTCTGTTGGTCCCTTCAGAGTTGCTGGGCCGGGTCATTTAAGTCTGCTGAAGCTGAACCCACACTGTCCCTTTCCCCAAGTGCTCTGTCCCAGGAAGGTGGAGGCTTTATTTCCAAGATGGCCGAATGAAACAGCTCCTGTAGGCAGCTCCCAGCAACAGCGATCCAGAAGATAAGTAATTTCCTCCCACCCAGGTACCAGTTTCATCTAATTGGAACTGGTTAGACAGTGGGAGTAGCCCAAGGAGAGCAAACTGAAGCAGGGTGGCATGCTGCCTCACCAGGGAAGTGCAAAGGGCCAGAGAACTCCCTCTCTTAGCCAAGGTAAGATATTAGGGAATTTTCCAGGCACTCGGGCACTCTGGTTCAGATACTGTACTTTTCCCATGGTCTTCACAACCCACAGACCAGGAGATTCTCTCTGGTGCCTACAACACCAGCACCCCAGGTTTCCAGCACAGAATTGGGGCTGAACTGCTCATCCCCCCAAAAAAAGGGGGACTGAAGCAAGGGAGCCAAGTGATCTGGCTTGGCAGGTCCCACTTCCACAAAAACCAGCAAGCTAAGATCCACTGGCTTGAAATTACAGCAGCCAGCACAACAGTCTGAGCTAAATCTGGGATGTTGAAGCTCAGTGTGGGGAGGGGGCGTCCACCATTACTGAGGCTTGGGTACACGGTTCTAAACTTGTCTGTGTAAACAAAGTCGCCAGGAAGTTTACACAGCAACTGGGTGGAGCCCACGGCAGCTCAGCAAAGCTTCTGCAGGCAGACTGTGCTAGACTCCCTTCTTGCTGGGCAGGGCATCTCTGAAAAAGACAGCAGCCTATCAGGGACTTATTTCAAATTTTAAAAGAAAAAATTGAATCAGAGAAGGTTTTTTAAAACTTTCCATGTATGCATTCATACACACCCTTGCATTTTTTAAAGTATACCTCAATTTACCTTCTTTTTCTATGAAGGAACAATATATGATCCTGCCTAATGCAACCACTCCCCTTCTATACCAGGTTTTATTCTTATTTGCCTAATCAAGAAAAATGCACTCAAAAATCCTCCCTGACCCGCCCCAATACTGCACCTCCAATTTTCCCCTTATACTCATTCAATCACATGATATGTATTTCCTCATATTAATAAGAAACCCTTTCTCAATTCCTACCTCAGCCTTTGATCCTAGACCATTGCTCTTACTCGTACAGCAATCTCCCTAAAAGAGACATACATATTCTCATTTTGTCTAATTTTCTCCCATTCTCTTAAGCCCATTCCAAAATAGAGATTTGTCTTCCTACCACAAAACTACTCTTTTGAATATGACTAATATTATTCATGTTGTGAAACCCAAAGGTTGATTTTGCTTCTAGGAATTCAGTCACTTCATTTTCTTCCTATGCATTGGATGCACCTTCTCATTCTCCTATGCATTCTCATTCTTTACTTGGCTTCTAGGAATTCAGTCATTCATTTTCTTCCTATGCGCTGGACACACCTTCTCATTCTCCTATGGGTGTTCCTACCTAAATGGTATCTTTAATATTAATACTTAAAGGCACATTCCTTAGTTTCTCTAAATGTATTCTTCTGATAATCCCACGCCTTAAATATCATCTACCAAATTTATCGATCTATCTTTTCATTACATACCTCCCCCATAACCTCATAGTTATTTGATCAAATGTGTACCTGAAACTGCCACATAGATAGCAAAGAGACATCTCAATTTTAATATACCTAAAACTGAATTGACATTAACAAGTAACCACCCTCTGCAAACATGCAACATGAACTGAGAAAAGGAATAGGATGCATTCCCAAGTGAAAATTGATTTTGTGACTCAGGCCCAATAGATGTGAAGCAAGAAAAATAAATAAATAAATAGTGTATCATATTTGAATTCCTAGATTGGTTTCAGACCGGAATTAAATCACCAATGTGGTCATTGAAATGCAAACACCACCTGAACATTAGGGCAGCCCCTAGAGGAGCAGATTTTTGTAAATGCTGTACATTACTTTAAGAAAGTATGTTACAGATCCTGTGCTGTGTTTATGCAAACACAGCAGATGGCTATGCAAATGAATTACATGTACTAAATCTTAGTATAAATTTAATTAATTATGAATGTATGAGATGGAATAATTTCAAGGTACTTTCCACTTAAGAACAATTTGAAAGGAAGTCTCAAACATTCCAGTAAACTACAAGTGGTTGAAGGCTAATGGACATTGTAAAGACTTAGCATAGTTTCTCAAGGGGTTTTATTTATTATAGCTATAATTCAGTTTAAAATTCTGACATGTCTTTCTAAATCTAAGCCATATTAAAATCTCAGAAAGATAGGCAAATGCATCAAACATTTCACAGTAAAATAGGATCATTCCTTAATTGTTTATCTCTACAACTTGTTTATATGCACCATACAGCCATCAAAAAACAGGAACAGAACTGAACTTAGCTTATTTTTTAATAGAGTTCAATTACTGAGGGATATAAAAATGAGAACTACTGATTAGTATACTAACTTAGGTTTCCATGGTGACAGATATAACTTTTAAATCCTTATCTTCATTTTACAAATTTTTTGTTTACAGCAGAAGAAAATTTCAAAAGCTACTAAATAAAGCAGTCAGTGCAGCTGAGTGCTGAACCTATCAATTCCACTGTCAGAATAATTCACAGGAGTTTGCTGACCTCCCTGGATCTTATTTTTGACATCACAAAGATGAGAAATATTACTAGATAAGCGTTTAATAGAGTATAATGCTTTAAAAATGTATTTACATGGTTAGTACCCTTCTCATCTGTGAGATTATACAAATGACTCTCTCTCTCTCTCTCTCTCTCTCTCTCTATATATATATATATATATATACACACACACACCCATATATATATATACACATATATATGTGTGTGTATACACACACACACACACACACACACACAGACACACTGGTGTTTCTGATTATTTGCATGTCATTGGATTTGGATCAGCACTCAAAGAGGCTGTATGTCTTTATTTTCAAAAAAATCCAAGCAATAATTTAGATTAGTCTCTTTACATCAATAGAGAAAAAATCTGTGAAATTTCAAAAAGAAGTTCAAAAGCAAGTAGCAAATATTATAAAGGAGAAGAAATAATGTGGAAGGCCATTTTAAAAGTTAAACAATAAATTATTCATATATCAGTCATCAGACCCAGAATTCCTGTGCATTATATACATAAGATTACCATTAGATCATTTTAAAAATAAAATATAAGTAATTTTCCATTTTTTGCAACTTAGAAAAAATTACAAAATATATTTTTATGAGTATTAAATCTGCCATTTTAAAGTTTAGTAGTATCAAATGTTGATATGTGCAACATTATTTTGGCCTTCTCTACAATACGTAGCTAAAAGGTAAGAAGACTATACCGTCTCTGTTTGAGGTTGAGTAAGATGTACTTCTTCTCACTTCCACTTAATGAAATCACTGAGTAAACTAAGGCAGGAGAGAAGGTAAAGTAAAGGATAAAGTGAATGATGTGAGTAAAATTAGTATTTAAATGATGAGAGAAATGGAAAATACAATGAGGAAATAACAGAGGTCGCATTTATAGAATCTTGTCCCAGATCTATGTCCTGAAGCATTTCCTCTGTGTTTTCTTGTGGCAGATTTATTGTTTCAGGTATTACATTTAGGCCTTGGATCTATTTTGAGTTGATTTTTTGTATAGGGTAAAAAATGGGGGCCTAGTTCAATTGCCCTGCAAATAGATATTCCATTTTCCAGCTTCTTAAAAAAAAAAAAAAACTGTGATTTCCCCAATGAGTATTCTTGGGACCTTTGTCAAAAATCAGTTGGCTATAGATATGTGGATTAATTTCTGGATCCTCTATTCTGTTTTATTGGTCTATTTATCTGTTTTTATGACAGTACCACGCTGTTTTGGATACAATAGCTTTGTAGTATATTTTGAGGTCTAGCAGTGTGATATCTTCAGCTGTATTTTTCTTGCTCAGGATTTTTTGGCTATTTGGTGTCTATTGTAGTTCTGTACAAATTTCAAAATTTTATTTTTATTTATGTGGAAAATGTCATTAGTATTTTGGTAAGGACTGCATTGAATCTGTAGCTTGCTTTAGGTAGTACTGTCATTTTAACAATGTTAATTATTTTGATCTATGAGCATGGGCTGTCTTTACATTTATTTGTATCCTGCTCAATTTCTTTCATAGGTGTTTTGTAGTTCTCCTTGTAGAGGTCTTTCACCTCCTTGGCTAAATTTGTTTCTAGGTATTTTTATATGTTTGTAGCTATTGTAAATGAGATTGACCACTTGATTTCTTTATCAATGAGTTTGCCATGTATGGAAACTACTGGTTTTTGTATATGAACTATGTATGCTACAACTTTACTGAATTCAATTATCAGTTCTAAAACTTTGGTAAAATCTTTAGATTTTTCCATCAATTCTTAAGTGAATTTTTATTACTTTTAGTTTATTCATCTAAAGGCATTGATAGAAATGGCAAGACATTATATTGTGGATTAAGTCGTGATATTACTATA